TGAAAATGCTAGATAATTTTGATTAAATTTAACTAAGCACAAAATAAACACTTACTGTTCCTCTGTCTTTGTGCACTGATCCATGGATGGAAAGCATGGTCCTCTGTAGACCTTAGCACCGGATATTCTTCCTTTAATGCCGCAATTTCGGCCGGTGTTGGTTGGCCCCCATTCATTATGAATTTGGCAACGGTACATGAAATTCGATGCTGAACGGTATACTGACGGTAATGTCATCCGCTTCTCACTTCCTGAATTAATTAACAAATAAATCTACGCGAAACAAAATTAACAAATAACTACACGCCTGTATCGTTCCACAAAATTGCAGACATTTGCACCTTTGTTTAATTCCCTTTGATAGTTTAAATCTGTTGTTAATTGCTGTGTAAAAGTTTGCGACTCTTCGTTTTTCGTACTTAATTTTTTGTTTAATTCCGTTTGATATTTTAATTCTGTTTTTAAATTTGTTAATTGTTGTGTCAGATTTTCAATTATTGCCTCTTGTGATTAGGCTGTCTCAGTAGCATTGCTACTGTTGACATCATTTTCCTGAGAGGTAGGTTAAAAAATACATTAGTTACGTATTTATTATATATAATACATTAATCAAAGAAAGATGGAGCGTGGAGCCGTAACAAGGTGTTGATGTTCATATATTTTATACTTCCGTAAAGAATTAACGAATTGTAATGTACATACTGTACATTTACATATATTCCAATTTAATAAACTGTGCGCCGCAAATTTGTCGGACTTGAAACACAGCTATCTTGGAAAATTAATACCCTTCCCTACCCCGGAATTAAATCTAAACGATTTAATTGTTTAAAAAAACAAAGAATTTATTGCGAAAAATATTACCTCAGGCAGTTTATTAAATTGGGATATATGTATATGTACAGTATGTACATACATTACAATTTACAATTCGTTAATTCTTTACGGAAGTATAGAATATATGAACACCAACACCTTGTTACGGTTCCACGCTCCATCTTTCTTTGATTGATTTAGAAGCCTTTACTATTATGTAAAAAAAAAGGATTCCAGCCGTCACCCCGCCTTTTCTTTTATATTTATAATACATTATTAAAATATTTATACTTACATTATTGCAGACATTTGCACCTTTGTTTAATTCCCTTTGATATTTTAAATCTGTTTTTAAACTCGTTAATTGCTGTGTCATAATTTGCAACTTTTCGCTTTTCGTACTTAAATCTTCGTTTATTAATTCCGTTTTATATTTTAATTCTGCTTTTAAACTTGTTAATTGTTGTGTCAGATTTTCAATTATTGCCTCTTGTGATGAGGCTGCCTCTGTGATGAGAAAGGCTAAAAAATACATTAGTTATGTATTTATTATATATAATACATTAATCAAAGAAAGATGGAGCGTGGAGCCGTAACAAGGTGTTGGTGTTCATATATTCTATACTTCCGTAAAGAATTAACGAATTGTAATGTACATACTGTACATATATACATATATCCCAATTTAATAAACGGTCCACGCTCCATCTTTCTTTGATTGATTTAGAATCTTATTACATTAATTAAATATGTATACTTACATTATTGCAGTCTGCGGCGTTTTTATATATTTGGCAATCGCAGTCTGCATTGCATTTTATTTTACTTCTTATACATTTGCAATTAGTTCCTTTACGGCATCCAGTTTTGCAGCGAAAATGATCCCACACTCGTTTCGTACCCAAGACAATGGGGCCTTTACTCAATATATTGGATTTCTTTTGTACTTTAAGTTCATTCTTGGAGGCGGAAGGCTGATAACCGTCCCTGAGGGATATTAACACAGGCTCCGCGTCAATACCGGCTTGCCACTCCTCCGCCGAGATCGCGGCAGTGTCACCGGGAGTATCGGGATACAAATCCTCTTGGAAGAGCTCAGACTAAAACGTTACATGGAACAATCGTTAGATACTCCTCGAATCGATTCTCTCATTTTTCGGTTTCAATTTTCAAACTGACGCAACGCTTTCTTACCTTTCTTGGCACTGTCATTGATATTACTTGACAAAACCCTGAATTATTTAATCGATAGAATCTGGTTATTTCACAGCTATTAACGTCACAGCCCCGTTTTGGCATCATTCCTATACCTCGTTGAGGATCGGGAGTTTGAAAAGTATTAATGTAATGAACGAACGGCGGTTCGGGCGTAATTTCGAAGTATCGGATCATAGAGTCGCCGCATAAGTATACTAAATTTGTATCGGTATCATACAGAGGGAACATAACTCCGTTGCTCGTATCTAGTTCTACTATAACTTTTGGCTCGTCCAACATGTCGGGAGCTCGTAATGAATATTGCCTTTTTGACATCTTGCTAAAACCCGTCGTAAAGATCAGGCCACCCCTGAAAAAATATAATACAAGTAATTTAATTAATCAATATGCATGATTATAAAGATTTCACCAATATCTAATGAAGTAGCCTTTCGTTATCTAGTGTGTTAATCTTTTTACACATATATATATATACTAGCTGGTTACCCGGGCTTCGCCCCGGAGGACATGTGTAATAATACACGCAAATAATCTCACTCAATAGTCTCTCTCTCTCTCTCTCTCTCTCTCTCTCTCTCTCTCTCTCTCTC